GCCTGTGCAACCGGCATCCGTCAGAACAAGGATGAAGAGACTAAGTCTGGTACGGTGGTGTGCGGACGCTGTCAGCTGATGGGACACCCTCGTGAAAAATGCATACGAATTTCGTGGTTTTGCCGAGTGTGTAGAACCAAGGGTCATCATCCCTCAGAGTGCACGGTACCTCAGCCCGAACGAACGGGAGTGTCGGACCAAGGTTTCCGTCGTCAGAGCTACGGACGATCTACACGCGGTTCCGGAACCAGCGGCATGGAGTGTTACTCGTGTGGCAAGCTTGGGCACCTCAGCCGAGAATGTCCACAGCGAAACCGAACCTCGTTAACTACTCCGCAAATTGTGGCAGCCATCCAGGCTATGGTTGCCTCCGGTTCTCAAGACAACTCGCCGGGGATGGGCGAGTTGAACGAGGATCAACAATGAGGACGCAGGGATCAGGACCAAGCCGCCGGACGTGGCGTGTACCTGATCGAACCGAACGAAATAACATCCGACGACGAAGACACTCGGCTGATCGAGTCTGAATCTGACCCAGGATCCAACGGGTTGGGGGCACAGAGTACGCAGCCGAGTCAATTCACTACCGAGTTTCGACCTGAAGAAACTAGGTTGACCACCATGGGTGAAAATCCCGATGAGAACTCCTTGGTGAAGACCCAAGGGAGACGCCTTATCAAAGAAAGCGAAGCGCGCACAGAAGCGTACATTCTCCGATCTCCCTATGAGGACCGGGGAGCACAAGAGACAAGTAAGGGAGAAGCTTGCTGGACGACGACAACCGACAACAAGGATCGAGTGGAGATCCAGGAAGACAGCCCGAGAGGGCCGGTTTGCGACGAGAAGGAGAAGAAGCCCGACGAGGCCGCCGCTCCGACCCGAGTGCAAGGCACATCCGCGACATGCGGAGAAGAAACAAGGAAGTTCCCGCGCTCAGCGGAGGAAGCGTGCCAAAGTGGCAGCATGCCCGCAACGTGCGGAGGAGAAACATTGAACAACCCGCAATTGGCGGAGGAGACGTGCCAACGTGGTAAAATACCCGGAATGTGCGGACGTGAAGGGACAACAACGTCCTAGAAGGATCCTGAGGCGGGTGCGCAACCACTCAGGATCCAGATTGGAAGACGAGAAGGCGCCTCCGAGGAAGTCGAAACAGGCCAAGACAAAGACAACGTTGCTAATGGAGCGAGAAGATTACACGAAAATACCGCCGAGGGGGCGAGGAAGACAAACTATAATACCGCCGACGGAGCGAGGAAGACGAAGCAGAATACCGCCGAGGGGGCGAGGGAAACAAACGGGGCGCCTGCTGACGAAGCCGTGCCTAACAAGATGGAGAATGCAATCAACGACTCGGTTCCCCAGGACCCGGTCAAGGTTGCACAAGTGAAAGTCGTTGAACCCTTCCCGAGGGTTGCAGTTCGACAAGTGAAAGACCCGCAGTCAATGTCGGGCGAAAAGGGCCAGCTTCCCGCAGAAAAGCTACCAAGGGAGTGGAACAACTCCCCCCCGGTGTTCTCGCCGGAAAAAATTGAAGCTATCGTGCGGGGGGACTTCGATGGACTTGCTGACGCGAGGCACGTGGACATCGAAAACCGATTGTACCCGATTACGCAGGATGAATTGAAAGCACAGGTTCAACACCTACGCAACCGACGTCGAGATGTCACACACGAAGAAATAGCATCGGTCATCACGAATGCTCTACGCAGACCACTCACTGAGGCTGACAAGGACCTATTTCTAGCACCAGCTGATATTGACAACCCTCGCCGATGGTTAGACTGGTTTGCTGGTGCGTTGGCAACTTGTGAAGAGTCGCGAAGGGCGGATGGTGACTTCGAAAATGCAAAGGTCGCAATCATCGGCACTACGCGATGGTCACGGATTCACCGAACGGTGCTCAAAAGTGTCGACATACCTGGGCTAGGACCAAAACCCGAATCACACTGTCCTTCTTCGGTTTCCCCGACAACAGAGCATCACATGTGCTCCTTTATAGCTGAAAACCCGGACGGACAGCTACGAAGGTCTCGCCACCCACGGAAGAAAGTGTCATTTTCGGGCTTGGCGTC